TATAATATTTCTTTAATATTAAAATTTAATATTTTTAAATCATTTATTATTATCAATTTGTTAATATTATAATTCTTATATATGCTATTATTTTTATTATTATGTATTATTAAAATTTATTATTTAAAACTTAAAATAATTAAAATTTATATTATTGAAATTATATTAAAATTTATTTTTCTTTTTTTTGCTTTTAAAATTAAATTCAATTAAATAAATTTAATTCAATAAATTTTATTGATTAATTCTGAATATTATTCAACGATTGATTAGTGTTAGATAAATTGATATTTATTGAAGTTAAATATTTTGTTTTTTGTTTTAATATTCTAAAAAGAAGTAATTAAAGATAGAAATTATTATTTATAAAAAATATTGTTTTCAACATTTATACGAGTGTTAAATTTAATCGACTATATGACTAGAGATAAAACAAAACTGTTATTTTTATTGTATCATAAATTAGATTAAACAATTATATTCTGGCTTAAATTTAAAATGAAATAATATAAAAAATTAAATTGCAATTAAATTATAAAAATTTTATATAATTTTTTATAGATAAAAATTTCAGAAATTATATATAAATTTCTTTATACATTAATTACAATTAAACATTCTTATTTATAACAAGAAAAGAATCATTTTTTGTAAATATTAATTTTAATTAAATTTAATTTTTTTAATTTTTATTATTTTTATCAATCTTTAAAATTAATATTTTAAAAAAGAATTTGTGTAATCTATTTTTTTTAATAAATTTTCATATTTTTTAATACAATTTTTTAATAAAATTAATTTATTTTTAATAAAATAGTTTTCGATATGATAATTATTAATTTTATGAAATAAAAATAGTATTAAATATCATTTTAGATGACACTTGTTTTTTAATATAAATTATCATAATAAAATCAGTAATATATTAAGTTCATTGAAAAACTTATGCTTTTTTTCTTTCATTTGAATTTTTCCAAAATATACTTTTTTTTAATTTTTATGAAATACACACATTTTCTTTTATTCATAATTAATCTTGAAATATTATATTATATTTTTAATTTTATATATTATTAAAATATTAAATATTTTTAAACAATAAGTTTAATATTTAATTGGTATAAAAGTATGATAAAAATTAAATTGAATGATAGCAAATCAGTTCTCTGTAATTTGAAATAATTATATGTATATATATATATATATTAATTATGAATTATATAATATTATGAATAATATTATGAATTATAGTATAATATATATCTATAATAATTAAATTAAAAGAATTGATATTTTAATAAAAATAGAATTTATTATTTAAAATTTTTAATTTCATTAAAATTTTTAATTTAATTAATATCGAATAATGTATTAAGTTAAAGAGATTTTAAATGCAATTAACAATATTAATGATTTCAACAATTAATATTTCAATGAATTAAAAAATTATTTAACATTATTTATAGGTATATTTATACCTATAAATCTCGCAATTTTATTATATAATGAAAATGAACGGTAGAAATTTAAATTATAATAAAAAAAATTTGTTATTTTAAAATTAAAATTATAATAAAAAATAAATTTGAACTAATAAAAAAAATAAAAATAAAAATTTATAAATATTAGTAATAAGAATTTATTAAAATAAAAAAATATAGATTTTTCATAAAAAAAAATAATAAACAATAGTTTATTTGTATTATGGATAGTAATAAAAATATCTTGAATGAAATAAAGATATTAATTTTCAAAAAATTAAAAGTAGAACTATAATAAAGTATTGCTAATAAATAAATAGAATTCGAATAATATTTAGAAAAAATTAAATATTAAATATGTTAAATTTAATAAAAATGTACATATAAGAATATGTGTATACATATGTACATATATATACAAAATATATACAATTCATATAATATACAAAATATATAATATATTAATATAATAATAAAATATACAAAATATATTAATATAATATACAAAATATATATGTAATATAC